CTATGCTAAATGTATATATGACTACGTCATGCGTAGCTCGGCCTCGCACGTGTCATTCAAAAAGCTGACCGGGTATTATCGTTTAGATATATACAAAAACTATGCAAACGCCTATTTAGGAGTTCAGAAAGGACACCCAAGGGTGGACAAAAGTAAAGTATCAGAGCGAGGCATTCTCTTTGGTTTAAGAGATCGTTTTTCAAAGAGAATTTGTTTTATAATAAGCACCAATCACATGCGAGGCTTTTGTGCCCTGCTAGCAATTGGAAATATAAATAGTAATAAGATTGATCAAAAGACCCAACTCAATGGGCAGCCTGGATGTACCAAAGAGAATTCTGGAGGAAGGTAGATAATGAAAAATAAATACGATAGTGGATCATCGACGGAAGCGGAAACTATTATCGTTAAAGCATGATGCCATCGTCCTCGACCTGAGAGGATTTAATTAGCTAATAATTCAACAAAAGGAAGCACAATAGTAAGTGGGATATACACTATTCTCCAAATGGCAACAAGTGAGTTAAATGTTTCTGCTAGCGATTCAGTGGCCAAAAATAAGGATCAAAGGTCTCATTGGAGCTAAGAACAGAGCTTGGGAAAGTACAAATACGCAACCTCGCGAAGGAGTAGGCACTCGCGGTATCCTGTGAAAATTTGAAGCGGTAATAAGTGATCTTTAAAACTGAATGCGGTGGCATTGAGCAGGACATTACTTCGCAAAAAACAGGAGCAAACAACTGCCCATCCAATGAACCAACAAGGAAAAAAGCCTTCTTGATTGAATGTAAATAAGGTATGATTTTATTATAAAATAGTACAAGTTGCTTACATAAGAAATATACCAATATCAGCTATCTTCAGTGAGACTCTCAAGCAAGTTGGGCAACTCAAGTCGATGAAAAACAGATATAAGTGTACTTCTTTGAACGCCGCGCCCTTTGTCACCAAGACAGCATTGAACAAAGGCGGATCGCAACTGATTGGATTTATGTGCAACAGGGCTTTTGATCCTTTCAGATCCATGTTCTCCGGGTTGGGAGCGATTACCTTCCACAAGATCCTCCAAAGACTGGTGCCGAAGTACTGTGATCAAAGTCAGCAACTCTTCATCTCCCTTTTCAAGAGCAAAAAGCCATTTTAAGCTAGCTTTGAGGGTATCAGGTATTCGGTTTAAGGAAGCTTCACCGATTTCAGCCCCACAATCCTAAAGCAAAAAATGATGGAAATAAATAAACATTCAAAAATATTCATGGGAGAATCTTACCGTCAAGCAAGCATCAATACAACGGATAATGTCAGAGAACAGAGTAGTTAAATCATTGAAAATGCCAGAAATCGAATTAGCCTCGGAAGCTGAATCAGGATGGTCTAAGCCAGCTGAAGAGTCACTCTGCTTCTTATAATAGCATCCAAAAGCTATGTGTAACAGGCATGGAATGAGGTCGTATATTTCAGCTGAAACAGAAGAGTGATGCTAAGTCCCAATGCAATTTATGAGTCGATTAATAATAAGAAAAACTAGTAAATCGCATACGAGAGGAGGTTTCAGCAAGGGCTTTTGAAGGAGAAATACTGGCTACAATAACATCAATGACTGGAATAATAGCGCGAAGGCTATTGTGGTGCCTTCCGAAGGAGATACACGACGCCTCATCTTCACATAGTTTACGCAGATAAATTGCCAGCATAGGAATTACCAAAGAAGACTTATTAACTGTAAGAAGATACTTTAGAAAATCAAGACATGGTAACCTAGGCTGATCACACCATTTTGGTTTGTGGAAAATATGTAGAGCAATCGATGTATAATTTCAACTTCACTGCCATGCATCCATCTAAAAATGACACATAAGAAGAGCATCTAAACTTACTGTATTTGCTTTTGAGCTTCT